AGAGAGTGGGTCTCAATGGACAGGAAAGCCAGCAAGAGCACGCTGGTGGAGATCAAGACCTTGTCAGTCTACGTATCTCAGTTTGCGGGATTAGCAGCCCTAACAGTAAAAGTGAACATCTTGTTACAGGTCAAGGATCTGAGTCTGGTGAGTCAGGGTCAGTGACTGCTGGGGAGGATGCAAAGAACAAGCGCAACTTCATTCGAAGTCTCTCAATCATGAAGACCAAACAACCTCCAGCACCTCCACGGAGAACAAACTCTCTCCATAGTAACAAGTTCAGGAGTAACGCCAGGGTTCTGGTGGAAAGCAAAGATCTTAATGACTCTGTGTCTGGAGAGGTGGAAACTGGTACAGAAAATACAGCTGCAGCTAAGGATGAGATTAAGTTGGTCACTGAAGATACTAATAAGGTCCCTACCCCTGTATCAAACTCTACTAGATCCAGCTCTCCAGATGTTTCCTCAGGTCCTCTGAGCCCCACAAAGACTTCTTCCAAAGAGGCTGGAGGGCCACCAGAGGCCCAGTCAGAATCCAGCAGCTCCTCCCCACAGAAAACTCCCTCAGAAGGGGGGAAATTTGAACGGACCATGTCCCCCTCCAGTGGCTACTCCAGCCAGAGTGGAACTCCAACACTTTCCCCTAAAGGTATCTCCCCAACCTCCCCAGAAAAACAGAAGAAGAAACCGGTCAAACCAGAGAGATCAGTGTCTCGGGCCTCATCCTCAGCAGCTTCTCCTTCCTCCTCTCTTACCTCTCTATCATCAGGTACATCTGAGCCTGTCAATCCAGATGTTCCCACATGTAGCCCCAGCCTGCCTCCACAGGAAACTCCACCCACTGTTACTCCAACTGAATTCACACCAAATAACAATTCATCAACTTTGAGAGTAGAAATCAGAGAGCTGTTGAACATCCCACCCCCTCCCAAGGTCAAAGCACCATGTCCTCCTCCTCCAGAGACATGGGTCCACAACAGACGCACCTTTGAGCTCCTGTGTGGGCCCTGCCCCAATGTCAGCAAAGAAACTCACAAACCCACACAGATACAGGACGGCACAGTTAAACAGGCAGGAACCCAGACTAAAGCCAGAAAGGAAGTGCAAGTTTTAGATGAAAAACAGATCGACAAACCCGTCTTAGAATTGTCAGAAAGCAAAGCAAAGCTTGAGACATTGTTAGCAACAGATCCTGAAGATGTCCACAAGGAGGGAGAGAACAAGGAACATGCAGGTACCGAAACAAAGGGAGTGGAAGCAAGTGCAGATGTTCAGAGACAAGAGCAGAGTAGTAGCCCTGTACTGAAGGGCCCCAAGAATCAAGAGACAACTCCAAAGAAAGAACCCCCTCCTGTGATGAAGAAACCCACGAACGTACTGCACAGAGAGGAACTGAAATTAACAGAGCAGTCAGTAGAGATTCAGCAAAAGGACATGAGTGGCAGTGCTACGCCAGAAGTTCGTATAGTTGTTGAGAACCATACGACCTCTTCACAGGATGGGGTTACGGCTTTAGTTGATAAGAGCGAGAATGAGACGGACAGAGGTGAGGTCCCATCCATGCACACACTTTCTGTAGAAGTCCCCAAAATTAATAAGATCTCCCCGCCTCCTACCCCTCCCCCGCCATACCACCCTACACCTCCTCCCTCAAGAAAGACACCTCCCTCTTCAGTGTCTATGCCACCGGATGAATTACAGAGGGTACAGGAGGAGACTCACTTTGTCGAGTCTTGCTGGCCACCTCCTCCACCTCCTTTGGAAGGGGACTCAGTCTTTGATGGAGGGGATGAGGTCGACTTTCCTCCTCCTCCGCCACCATTTGTAACAGATGCGGTGCCAGATGTGATGGACAGTTGTGTCAAACAGCTGGATGACCTTAATGAGCATACTGTGGCTGTACAGGAAGTTGGAGGGACAATTAAGGACCCAAGTGAAGCTGTGACATCTATACAGGAACAAAATCCAGATTTGCCCAGTGCTGTTCCACAATTGGTAGTAAATGACAACAAACCAGAGGAGGCTGTGCAAGTTTCCAAAGCTAACACTGCTGATGAGATTTCTTGCAGACCAGTGGAGAATGTTTCATCTCTTTCAGACGGTGTCCCACTTCCACCAGTTGAGGCACCGCCTTTACCCCCTATAACAAGAGCAGAGAACCCAGTATTAATATCTGCTTTAGTTCCTTCAAGCAGTTTCCTAAAGCGAGACTCTGTGAAAATTGAAGATCAGTGTGGGCCTCCCGTTAGTCCCAAAACTCCAATTAAAGTCCCAGCAGCGCCCCCTCTACCGGCAGATAATTTAACCCATGGGGTTAATTTCAGAAGGCAGCCCAGTGTATCAAACCGGGACACCAGGAGCAAGGAACTCCTTTCCCGTCACAAAAGTGCACCCATTCCTAAAGAGGATGCAAACATACCTCTTGTCACCCCCTCCCTGCTTCAGATGGTTCGCCTCAGATCAGTCAACATGACTGAAGATCAGGTGAAATCTTCCTCCGAAGACAGGCCAACAAACGAGGGAGCTCCACTTCAGGAGAATTGCTCAGTTTCAATCCCAGGACCTCAAAACATCCCACAAAAGCCCATCCGCAAGTCTCTGTCTCTAAAATCTCCACCTCAGACAGTAAAAGCATCCTCTGTGACACTGAACACCCCTTCAATGCGCTTACAGGAAGCCATACGTATGAAAACCGCAGCCATGTCTTCAAGAGATGGTCTTCCCTCCAGACTGGGTGTGAGATCATCCACTTACAGCTGTGTCAGTGAACCTGGAGCTCTGTCTCTGAAATCACCTGAAGGATGCGATGTGCACAAGTCCCCAGCCTCTACCGCTAGCTTTATCTTCTCCAGGAGCACAAAGAAGGTCGTCATAGAGACTGCAGCTGCCTCCTCGCCTGAAGCTCAGGCAAGTTTGAAGCAAAGCTTAGCAGCCGAGCTCATGCACGTGTCTGACCAGTCAAGGGCCGTCGCTTTCTCCAATGGTGGAGTGAAGTGTGACAAAGTTCCTCCGCCAGTGGCTAAGAAGCCAGCGCATGGCAGCATCAGTCCTTCACAGCATTACGCTGCTTGTTCAGGAAAGATGGAGTACTGTGTTGAGGGAAATGGAGCAATAGGAGGAGTACAACATGCAAGTGGAATAACACCTCCTGAGACAACAAGTAAGTGCAGCAACATAACTTATAACCATGATGTTCTGGCTTTATCATTGAAGGATTAGCACTGCCTTCATCAATATGTTTCAGGGTGCTGCTGCTGCTGCTGCTGCTGCTGCTGAGTATGTAAACTCAAGGCTGGTTAGCTTTAATCAATAACTCCTGCAACTCTCTTGTCATGAAAAACAGAATGCAAATTCCAGCGTTACCATGAAACAGCAAGAGCATATTTTGTGCTCTCCATGCCAGCATGCATACATGGAAACACCCCCCCGTTCCACACAAACAATATAAATTCTGCTAGCTTGCCTACAGCTTTTTTCCAGCGAATTGTGCAAGCATGTGCCTCAGTCAGCCTTAACCTGAAGCTCATGATCACGTCTCAGTAACTGAATTAGATTAGAGCAGAATACTCATTACATTTCTTCCTGTAACTGTATAACGGTAATGCCATAATGTCTAACATCCTCTTTTCTTCCTCCTCCAGCTACGAGAGTGACAGCAGACACAATTGAAACGCTGTTTTGAAAGAGTTTTGCAGTGATGATGAAATGAGAACCATACTCATGCCAGAAGCAAAGTAAAAGGACAACTCACAGCAGATACTGACATTACTGAGAGACAATAAGCTCAACTATCTGAGTGTTGTTGTGTGTTAAGTCTTCTCCAAAAGCCTTAGCCTGTTAATGGCCTTCCTACATATTTATGCAAAAAATGTGGCGCTCCCAATTTCTTATGATAGCTTTATTCTGGAGTATTTTTCTAAGCGATAGTTTATCTCTTATTAAGGCCCCTCAGGATGAAATGGTGTACATTGGCTCAAGTGTAAATATTTGGCTTGTGTGAGATCGCCTCCTAGAGGTTGAATTAGGTAGTGGTCACTGCAGCTCAGAGTGTGAAACAAAGCATTTCTGTACAGAAGTTTGTGTTTTTTTTTCCCTGTTGTAATATAATACATAATTTTGATGGGGATTTAAGCAGTTGTTGGAAAAGGCTGACAATAGCATCCACTACAGGACGAATCTGCATTTTTATCACCGTCTTTGCTTTAAGATCTGAGTAAAAGCACGACACTGATTTTTTACTCCTGGCTCATCACTGTGTGGATAGACAGATCTGAAATAGTATTTGAAAAAAAAGGGATGCTGCATACTTACAAGAATGAGAGAGATTTTTTTTTTTGTCAGTTAAGACAGAAGCATGTTTGTAAAGTTACAGATGATAAACCATGAAGACTTAACACAAAAGCATCTGATTACAGCAACAGCTAAAATGTCAATTAGATGCCTATACATAATCCATTTCTTGGATATAGTAAGGGTCAATCCAACACATTGTATGAAACCTTTTTAGGAAACAGTAACAAAAGTATCCTATTTATTTATGTGTGATTGTTTCCACTCGTAGCACTGTCAGTCACCTTTTCCTACCAAATATGAAATATTTAAGAATCTATTTCATCTGAAAACCACTTTTCGGGCTATGGATGTGAAGATTGGCCCTGGATGATTGATACACTGGAGTAGACTTAGTGTGAGGTCAGTGTTTTTATTAAATGTTCTCTATCTAAATCTTTGATGGAAAAAAATCAAGCTCATCTCTATTTGCACAAAATGCTTTCCCCCAGCAAAATCATCAGTGAGTGAATTATACCGACTCTTTGTAATGGGTCGAAAATCTACGTTTTGATGATTATAAAGAATTATGTACAGTTATTACTTCTATAAATAAAATTTAAGTGTATTAAATATGCTGTTTCCTGCATTCTGTCTTACCGTAACCATAGTAACCATGTGTTTTTTCAGGTTTTTACTCATTTCTCTCATCCAACACAAACATTTCATTCCTGCAGACCACAAAATTCAGCATTTATTTCATATTTGATATGATGTATTATTTGATTATGACAGTTAATGTTCAGTCATTGATTTCTGTACAACACTACCCCCAAATGTAACCGTCCTGTAGCACAAGGCAAATATATCTTTCCACACATCTGATGACTGAAACCCCCATAAAACCATTCTTATTAATTAGGTTTGGCAGGTTGGCATGACATTTACCATGAAGGCAAACAACACAAGTGCAATTTTACCCAGGAAAAGTACTGATACATTAAGTCCCTTTTTAAACACCTGAGAATCCTTATCAGCTACAACCAAGAATGAGCGACTGGTACGTCAACATTCAAGCAATCAGTCCTTCTTTATCTGATCAGGCCCGGCTATCTACGATTTGCAGAACATTTGTTGTATGTGTACATTTAAGTCCATTAGTAAAACCATCAATGCCCAGTAAACAAAAAAGATAAACGAAAGAATCAAAGGTTGATTAGTTTCATAATTTTTCTTGTAAGTGGCTTATGTTTAGAGGAATTACATATATCTTTCCTAATGAAGTCAAAGCAAGGTAACAGAATTTGTCAAAGCCAGTCTGAAAGCATCTGAGACTTTTGGCATCGATGTCCTTTTCCGAGAAAACATCCAGTTGAAGATTGACCATTGTCGCCATGGCAATTTGGTGATGAGCGTATTGTTGTTTTGAGGTGGTGGGCAGCAGCAGCTTCAGTGGTGAATGTAGCTTGAGTGTATTTAACTGATGTTGCCTCCTTTCAGTGTTTTACATGTGATCTGTCCCAGTTTGGTCATCAGCTGCTTGTCTTTCCACTGAGCTACACACTCGTCTGAGACCTTCAGGTCGACCTGAGAGAAGACAGAAAAAGAATAAAATCATTGCTAATACACAGAACGTCCCCCTAAAGACCAATCATTAAATTCCAATATGCCATTATTCTATTTTGGAAACATATTAATAAATATTAACATATGAATCCATGTTTTGAAAAGTTTGTACTAAGAACTGAACTGATGGAATTTACTGTGTTATTCTTTCAGTAAAGACAATGACTTGTCATAACAGGAAAAGCATAAGTGTTACTTATAACATTAACGATGGCTCCATTCTATTAAGTGAAAGTAAAATCTGACTGAAACGCACCTGTAGTTTCTCCCACACCTTCTTCTTTGGGTTGAGTCTGTCGTCTGCTTTGCCTGTCTCATATCCCTCCACAAAGACCTGTTCCCCTGGTGACGAACCCTCTGGAGGGTCTAGAGGCTCCACCCTCCTTGGCTCCCCTTCACTAAAAATCAGCCAATCAGAGAGAGTGAAGAAATTAAAAGATAAGGCTGAGGGACAAGCTGCATTTGTCTTTGTGGAAAAAAGAAAATGAATGGCACTCACACAGAGGCACACAGCAGCATGGCTTGCGACTCGATCCCTCGCATCTTCTGGGGTTTGAGATTGCACAGCAACAACACCATTCTGTCCTGCAGGTCCTCCTGTGAAACATAGGCCACCAGCCCACTGACTACCGTCCTGGGCTCCGTCTCGCCCACGTCGATCTTCTCCAGGTACAGTGAATCAGCGTCTGGATGCTGAAAGTTGAACAGAGAAGAAACACAGTGAACACAGAGGAAGAGGGCTTTTAATATCGATGCATCGTCTCCACATACATCTCAAGACAAGCTCAGTTTATGTATCAATCAGATGATCAGGCATCAAGTGACATCTTAATCTTGTACCTTCTCCACACTGATGACCTTGCCCACTCTGATGTCCAATCTGGAGGGGGCCAGCTCATCATCATCTCCTCCTCCTCCTCCTCCACCGGCCTTGGCACCCTTTCCTCCCGCTTCTAATTTCACACACACACATAAATGACGATAAGTTTTCCCATGCAACAACCTGACAAACGAATTAATGCGAAGATAGTCATTCTGTTATATTTGGGCTGAAAGGATTGAAGTCATATGAGAAGAAGAGGACCCAATGAGGACGGTGGGTTAAGCACGCACTTGTCTTTGAAGGGTTAGGGTAGGCAGTGTTGGTAAGCTTGCGGAGCTCAGGCGACTCAAACTTCTTTCTGATTGGATCCAGCAGTTGGTTTAGTGCGACTTCCACTGAGGCCTTCAGGTCTCCTGGATGGACCGACTAACAAGTGCAGAGATCACCAATGATTAGAGCAGAGCATAAGGAGAAAATTAAACATTTTTGCAGAGATATCATTTAAGAAGAGCTTTTACTCTTCAAATAACCCAGTTAGACTGTACATTACCTCCTCAGCAAAGTCCTTCTCCACCTCTTCAAATCCCGTGTAGACTTTATCTCCACCCCACTTGGGGTCTCTTTTGATGCAGAACTCTGAAACAGACATGGATCCCAAATATTCACTCATTTTATATTCTTCTTACAAGTGGAAGAGAAGCCAGAGGCAAAGAGACTGTAGGAGATTAAAGGAGGAGTTTTCTACCTCCACGCAGAGGGAAGAGGACGTATTTGACAAAGGAGAGGACTCCGTTGTTCTGGATGTTTCCTGGCTCGCAGAAAGCCTTTTTCAGCTTCTTCTTCACATCCTCTTTAGAGTCCAGTAGGTCAATCTTTGATTCCTGCAGCCACAAAGAGATAAAATATATATCATATAAACCACACAAATCTTAAATCTTTATCACTTTTTTCCTCTGACAAATAATATGGCTGCAGGCTTACTTCTTCTGAAGAGCTCATCTTGGTTCCTGTCAGTCCTGGTACCATTGGGTTCATCAGATGGGCACGTTTAGCATAGCCAAGAGAGGGCAAGTACTGGAGAAAAAAAGAAAAGCTGCAGTTTAGATGAGCGATCAGTTCAAATTCAAAGAGGACCTCTGCTTTAGTTTTGATAAATCTTATTCAGAAAACTGTTCCAGAAGATCTTGCCCTTATGACGTCAAGACTTGCAGAGAATCTCAACATGTCAGATTTTTCTGTCTTGAGCAAAGTAAACAAACCTAAAAAAATAAACAAATTTCCATTTAAACAAGTTCAACTTGTTCAACAAGAAGACAAGTGGTGCCAGCTACACCTACACTAACCAAGTTCCATGAGAGATGAGGTATGTGATGAAAATAAAAGAGAAGAAGTATGAAGAGTCAGTAATGAATGGAAGACAGAGGGTGGAGAGTTCAGATAAATGTTGGAGGGTGATGGTACCTTCTCTGCCAGGGTGAAAATCTTCCTCTGGTCAACTCCTCCAAACTGGGCATCCACCTTCAGGTACTCCTCATCCAGAGCCTGAGGACGAAGATATGTCACATTTACTGCTGCTGCAGACTCTCATTGAGTATATAACACTGCTTATACTCCACCTAATAACAGGGGTATTACCTGCAGTCCAGGGTAGAGCAGACCACTCAGTAGAGGATGCTCCACCTGTTTAACAACCTCAGCTCCGGCCTTCTTAGCATCATGCTCTGTCACCATGGAGGACAGGCGGTACACGTCCAGAGTGTACTCTCTGACAAACATGAAAACAAAGAGCTATAACATTAGTTTAAGTCAAGTCTGTTTCAGGGAATATAAAGTTATACAAATACATGTCAAGACAGTCAGAGAGCAGCGTCGGCCCAACTGACCTGCTGAGCTGGTAGTCCGTTCCTTTGACAAACTTGAGTTTTTCCAGTGGCACACCAATGCTCTCCAACATGGCCTTGATGACCTGTTCATAGTACTTCACCCTGAGCTCCAGCAGCTCCCAGGGGGCTTTCATGTTGTCAAGGTAGGCATGCAGGTCTGCAAACAGAATAGTGACCTGCGGAAAAGAAAAAAAGACACAAAAAGTAAAACCTGTAAGCTCCTGCAAAACAGATTAAACCGACGCCTCATTGACAGACAAGACGCTCACTGAGATGTACCCACCTCACATCCAGCCTTCAGGAAGTCTGCTATCTTGGACATGGGGACAAAGTAAGCGACATGGGGTTTTCCTGTGGTCGCTGTACCCCAGTAAACTTTCAGCTCTCTCTCCTGAAGAACCTGCTTCAGCTTCTCCTCTCCCAGGACCTCCTGCAACACACACACACAACCAGAGATTCATGAGACCAATAGCTACTGATGGACTTCAGTCGCTGTGAGAGAGAGTGTGTGTGTGTGTGTGTGTGTGTCTGTTTGTGTCTCCCACCTGGAGGTTCCTAGTGATGAGGTCGAACTTCTCATCAGGACTCAGCTGATCTGCCATGGCTCAAGGACTCCTAACTGAGAGGACAGCAGTTCTAGTGTTACTGTGAGTGAACAGCAGCAGCAGCAGCAGCATATGTGAGTCGAGACAAATCAATTTCGGTTTTAATATTGCCCCTGGCGACAGACAAATAAATAACATGGTTACATTTCTCAGAGCTGGCTTGGCTGTTTCCCACGTTACACAAAATCCTTTTCACTAAATCTGCGCTATGGTGGGCGGTAGCAAACTGCATATGATCCGTCCTAAATTTGGATGTTTTAAGAAAAAGACACAGCAGTTTAATGAGTTGTCTGTGTGCCGAATTTACCAGACGACTATAACAGTTAATAAAATGTATTAGACAGGTTGTATCCAAGTAAGTTAACCACTGAGAAAGGTGACGTTAACGTTACACTGACCTGGAGCTTAGAGTAACGTCACGCTGATACTGAATCAACCAGCCGGCTAAGGCTATGTAGCGAGCCAGCTAGCAAAAAAAAACATGTGCAGCTAACGTTATCTAGCTCCACTTTCCGACTTCCGACCTGTTTAATAGCTAGATTTTCATCTCATATAACGGCGATATCAGTCTACCATAAAGCAACACTGTACAACCTGCTGACTTACCTCAAAACCTGACTTCTTACAGCGAGACGTGGGTGAGAGATGCCGGCTGGGTGGACCAGTCAGTGTGGTTGCATCAGCGACAGACTCTGCTCTGCTATCGACTGACTCACTGTAGACTCCAGGGGAAAGCAATCGAGTGTAGATTACAGAGCACACGATTGCGAGGTTCTGCTTCCATTGGAATTACAATATTTACTGAAATAATGTTTTCTACAGCTGGCAGGCATAGATGACAATGTCAGGTAATTGCAGTGAGTGTGATCGGTGCGTCAGGTGCATAGGACAAGATAAACTGACAAAATATTAGAAGAAAAATAATGTTAGGCCCATACAACTTGCCCTCTGTACATTGTGTATGCACCCAGCTGTTGTCCTGGGTTTGAATATGCTAAATGATTATTTTCATTGATCACAGTATATGCTCCATGTAAGCTCAATGTAAAATAAAATAATTAAAACTACTCTTTCTCTCTCATTACCTTCAATAGAAAGCTCTGCGAGCAATTAACATAAATAGTGCTCCTTGTTACAACCCAGTATGTGTTATTACACTCTTAAAGCACTACATGTGTAATGGCTGGCCATCCTGTTTGCCTCGCAACAAATATAAGTCGTCATTAGTGAAGTGAAAGGTAATGATGACTGTAATAACAGCAGAATGTGTGAAATAATTACAGAAGGGCTGACAGCACTCTGGGGGCCCAGATTACCTATATGTACCCGTACAAATAGAGCAACGCTAATTAAGTGAGTTCAAATACATCGTTTTATTCTGTCACTGAGGTTACCTGGAAGCCTAAATCACCATTAGACTGATTACAGGACAAATATCACATAAAAGACAGAAACAGAACCACAGGTATGATTTTGCATGTGAGTTGTTGCCAGTGTCCACCAGGGCCGGGGCATGGGCCAGTTTTTGTCGAGACATTCAGAGTCAAAGGTCGGGCTCCAGGCGGGGGAGCACCGGGAGGATGAGGTTCCCAAACGACGAGTCCTGCGTGATGAAGAACCCGGACGAGTGGACGTGAGCGTGCTGCAGGGCGGCCTTCTGCTGGGCGGCGATGTGCTGCTGCTCCGCGCTGTCCCTCACTTCCTTCAGGCTCGGTCTGGACGACAGGGGGATGTTGGCTCCAGGGCTGTTCATGGACTGGCTCTGCAGCAGCCGCCTCTTCTCCTTGTCTAGCTCCGCCAGGATGGCCACCCGGGTTTTGTTCTGAAAGCCTTGTCCTGGGGGGTTGGCAGCCATGTCAGCTCAGCAGCGAGCGGAGCAAATAAAAGTCAATCCATGAAGGAGATAAATGTCGCTGTTAGCGTTACTAGTTTAAGTTAGGTCCTTGTCAAGATAATGTCGCTGTAATTGGCAGACACGGCGCACGAGGAACCAAAATTAAGTATTAAAATTTAAGTGCTAAAATTGCCGCTGTATGCTAACAGTGTAAAACACTTCCGGCTTCAACGATCTGCCTTCAAAATAAAAGCACACGAGTTCCTAAGGAAGACTGCACTACATTTTGCGTGTATTAATGATGTTTAAAAAGTACCATAACCTGCTTAATCTGTTCTGTGAATATGAGACAACAAAGATCTTAAACATTACAACGAAACTGGAAATCAATTCACAAGTCAATACAAAATCTATGGCAGATTATTGACCCTCAACTAATCTCAAAGAATGGATCTGATATGACACATCCTCCTTTAAAAAGTCTCATGTCAAGTTTCATGATTTGAAACATTTTTTGTTTTCTTTTTTTCCCTCAAACCACTGCTTTAACTGTTTGTAACTACCTATACTCTTTTTTTCATTGATGCTGCTTTTTAAATAGCTTTTTAAAAACTCAGCACTAGATGGCAGTAGTGTACAATTAATGCTACCCAAAGTATGCAAAGTATGCAGAGTAATTGTTTTAATTTTCGTTTTATATAAACATATATACATACATATTGTTCAATTTATTGTTTGTTTTATATATTGTTTTTAGATATTTACTTACTTTTTATATTGTTTTTAAACGAGCTCTCATTTAATAATTTTTGTGTCTGCTCTAACAGCCAGCTCCAAGTACTTGAGGACATAATATGAAAATATCAGAAGAATTATATCAGTGTCTTCAGTATGCATTGGGTTATGGCTAATGTACCCACATGATGCATGTGTGATATAAAAGTGCAGACATTCAAGATCTCTTCCACATTTCTGTTCTTGTTTAAATTGGCTCCATCTTGTGTTATGTAGTTGTTTCAAGTAAACACATATTGACAACTCCTTCATAATACACTTAATTAGTATTTATTAACAATATCTTTTTCCATCTGAACATCTTTTCCTTAAATAACTACAGAACAATGTACATTTCACTTGCAGCCACAAATATCAAAGATATTTACAGGTTTACATACAATATATACATATGCACAGGAGGCATGTACACAAGGCTTCTGTGTGTCCCAGTGGGATTAAAGCTCACACATTTGGCTACAGCCTCAAGAGTCATGAGGAAGTTCAGTGACAGAGCCATAAAAGACAAAACGCTGACAAAATAAAACAGAATGAGATTTACATGATGTACATTTATAACAGGGTTTGTGGGCGAAAATGGCACTGTTTTTGGTATGTACACTATCCAGTATTAACAATACAAGGAACTTCTGGTGGGAAAAAAATAAAATGGAAAAATAAAGTGAATGAAATATGAACATTTTCACATTTGGCAACTCAGTTGTCAGAAACAACAAGTCAAGAGATGTAACAGTATGTATAACATATGACACTGTGTGTACACATTTCCATATCAATAGATATGAAATATGTCAATCCTCATTTCAGTGACAGGGATTGAGATGATCACAAAGCATCCTGGTGGTTCCTTCTGTAAACATACATATATACAAAGAAAAAAACACCCAAGGGAGACTAAAACAGGTTCACTTCCCCACCTTCCAATCTTCTCTTTTCCCACAATTACATGCTTCCCTTTTTTGAAGGCATATGGAGCAAAGACAGTAGCGTTGGCAACATGCATTAAAAGGTGTGTGAATGTTTTAAAATTTGACTCCCACCCCATTTTCCTCATTTTTAAATCCAGTTGGAAAAAACCTACAGGCTTTAAATAGATTTAAATACTACACGGCTCTCCAGCAAACATGAATTCCAAAACAGTAAAATCAAAACTAATAAATATTTAAATAATGATATCTCTAAATTAGTACCGGCTGTAGTCATCGTTTTGTTCAATTTTAAGAAAATGAAAGTGTTTAGAGAAAAGAAGCTTTCCTTGTCTTCAGTAGCCGTCGTATAAATGAAATGTAATTAATGCAATAGCTGGATAAACATTGCAGTTATATGTACAAAATAACTGCTTTTACTAATGTAGTGGTTTCGGTTTTATGGTGGGGAACTAAAATGAGGCATTCAGACCACAGCTGTTAATGCCAGACCACTAGTTCCAATATTATGTCTCTTTAAAAAAAAATTATAAAAAAAGACAAAAAGAAGGGACGGGAATGAAATGGAAACCAACTGGTTTCGGTAAACTATGAGGAGATATTGTAAAATTACAAAACACATTTAAACACGTTGAAAATACACAACAAGTCAATGACTCAGGAGCAAGTGACTGACACAGGTATCACTTTTGAATTTTAACCCCAAAATAGGGCTGAAATTAAGGCGTCATCACTGTTTGTTCAAGTTTCTTACGATGTTTTACATCTCTGAAGTATAAAGATGTTTTTAGTGCAGCGCTCAAGGTCATTAAGGTTTGTTTTAGTTCATAAGAGGATGGAAACTGTTCAGTTCCAGCGAGAACACTGACAAAACATGATCCCATCACATTTCAAGACCAACCTTTAAAAAAAAGTTTTTTTCCCACATTACTCAGAAGTTGTGCTGTAGAAAAAAGTAAGGCTTTTGAGATCTGACTGAACAAAAGAGGAAAGAGAATTTCATGCCAGGAGAAAGTCACAAATGGGGACGGTTAGTCAATCTTTAGAAAGCCCTCAGTGTGGCTGAAGCGACACTTTTGGAGACGTGAAACAGCAGCGATGTGATTGGACAAGGCAGTGTCTGTATGATCCGACAGGCCCAGGTCTGTTGGTCCTGCCCAGTGCAAAAATGCCAGCCGTTCATCCGATTGGTCCGTGGGTTCTCTAAAATGTCCTAGACCACGTTGGCCAGCTCTGTCGAGTCTGTGTCTGAATCTGTCTCGTTGTCCCTGCAGGAAAAACACAAGTGTCTTCAGTCTCTCAGACAAACGCACATAAAAGCAACAAGAGAGCAGGGGGTTTCAGTTCACAGCCTTACCTCTGTTCCTGCAGCAGTTTGCGGTTGCCTTGCCTCCTCTCCTCATCGATCGGATAAAAGTACAAAATGATCAGGCCGATAATGATAAGAGCTATGGGGGCGGCGGAAACCAGCACTTTCAAGGTTAAATGCACTTCTTCTGGTTGAGAGCAGCCTCTACTGATGTAGCCTGCAAAACTGAAAAAAAAAAGAAACAGAAGAAACAGAATTATGAAAATGAAAACGAAAACATAAGTGTTTCACATCCTTGTGCAAAGCAGAGTGTTAATATAGATAGATATAGATATGAAAGGTAGTTTCCCACCAAATGGCTGATCAAAAGGCCAACACTGGTGTAGAATCAGTCATGTGATGGATGAACTCATCACACACACACACAAACAGTCTTACTGTACTGGATCAAATGAAAGCAAAAAGAATTCCTTGCTTTGATGTGGGATTTGGGTGCTGGGAGATTTGGCTTAGCCTCATATTGTGTCCAAGTGTGTTAGATAAAAAAAATTAAAAAAAACTTCATAAAATCCCTAAAAAACATTTCCAATATTGGCTGTGTGTGTGTGTGTGTGTGTGTGTGTGTGTGTGTGTGTGTGTGTGTGTGTGTGTGTGTGAGAGAGAGAGAGAGAGAGAGAGCATGTGAGTACTTACTCTAAACTGAGCGTGGAGATGCCCAGAGAGACTCCAGAGGCGAACTTGGTGAAGAAAACGTAGAAGGAATAGAAGAGAGCTTCGTGGCCGGTGGAGTTTGGGTTCTGAACTTGGAAATCGTCGACAACATCAGGCAGCATGGACCTGAGCGAAAAAAAAAAAAAAAAAATGTTAAGAGTCAGAATTGGTTTCGCACCTGCACACTTAATACATCATGTAAAAGCTAACCCAGGGACAGCAGGGGTCTTACCAGGGCAGCAGGAAGGCTGCGGCCACTCCCACCCCAGCAGCGAAGGAGACAACGTAGGTAACAATCAGGTTACTCTTCAGACACACCACCAGGATCATGAAGGGAACCACAGACTGGAAAGAACAGACACATATTAGACCATTAAAGCTCAATTGAACAGCTGTCCGTCAGAGTTTTACTTCCCAAAACTAGCTTCTTAATGGCACTACAGCTGTTGTCTCATAACTCCTAGGATAACACTTAAATCCTGTCAATCTTAGGCTTCATGTGACTTAGAAGTGGTGTCTGGACGTGATTGTGGGCCTTACCAAGGTGCCAGCATAAACCGCTGTCTTTTTCCCGAAGCGAGTGAGAAACCACTGCCAGAAGGGGATGGCCAGAGTAGCGGAAAGCTGTGGGGAGAAAAAAAACATTAAAATTCCGGTTAACCAGCTGTTTTTCTTTGACAAACACACAAAACTGAAACAGATTCCAATAAATTCCATAAAAAGGCCTTTTATTACAAGTAAGCATGAGCTTGGAGAAGCAGGAAAGGATGATCCTCCGTGTCACGTTGCATAACACATAAAAGAAGCATGATATTAGGTGCATTCTCAAAATCCTTCCGCCTCAGACTTGAAGCGCAGCGATGCAGAAGCACTTCTGACTTCTCATATATGCCAAACACAACAGTGACGATGGAAGATAATATGGCCTCTACAGCTCTTCCCAAAACAAATTCGAGCTCAATGTGATGCAAACTTCCACGGGGGTCATCCTAACGACGCTACGGGGGGGGGGGGGGTATCTCACTCAGATCAATGCGACCTCTAACCTCAGTGTTTGACTAAGGTAAAGATAACAGAAAAGCCCTGGTGCAACAGTATTTTTCCACCACTGCCCACACATCACATCCACGTTACAGTCTGTGGCAGCAAAAGTTGTTTCATGTGGTTTCTCAGTCTAGGTGAACGCATAATTTCATTTCTGTCAATCTAAACCTGTGACACAAAACAGAGAAAAAAAAACAAAAAAAAAAAAACAGCATTGTTGTGTGCAGTGCTGAGTCTGAACTTCCCAGGCACCATCCCCACCCTACGAGCCCTACCAGCCATTTCCTCAGAAATAAATCATCATAATATCTTGATCATCTCTATCTTCTGACTAACGCTCATAAAGCTAGTTTCATACTCCTGACCTGGGTGTATAAAAACAAACATGGCTGCTCCTTTAGCACATAAACACCGTGCAGCCCTTGATTAAATGAGTTCATTTGCTGTGCAGCATCATGGAGTCTGGAGAGCAATGCGCCATACAGCATGCTCTCTGAAATGTGCCTCTCTTCGGCACAAAGGAACACACACAAGGCTCTTTTTGTTTGTTGCTTTTTGAAGGACCCCCCACCCCCGCGCTGCTCTCACACCACGTTTCATTACATTTGACCTTCGCGGTTTGAATCCACTAACTGACAAACCAGCTTGAGTAACGAACCCTTACATAACGCCTCTAAGTTTGATTTGTTCGACTCATCTTCGTTCTAATAAGAGCCGAGCCTCTCAGATTAGCCTGCCATCTCATCAAGTTACTGAAGGTGAGGATTAGGATCGCTTAGTGCTGATTAAGGGTAACTTATTAAGGAGCAGCGGCTCTGAAAGCTCACAGTGTTGAAGCCGCTAAAAAGTCATTTTGCTAAATAAGTGTATTTAAAAAAAAAAGAAAAAAAAAAAAAGGTCACTGCCTTGATTCTGTAATCCTTTCCATAAAGTAAAGGATCAAAGCATTTAATCTTTTCAACCTCTTTAACCTGCACTTTCTCACCCTGTACAGTGCTGCTGTGCGTGCTACAGTAGGAGCGATGCTTGGCTTAACTGGGTTTCATACCTGTCGGACAGAAGGCTGAGCGATTCTTTGATATGCCAGACTTCTCTTTGGATATGGGTTTATATAAAAAGAGAGACCTTGACATGAAAGGAAAAGCAAATGTGGCTCCTTTACTGTCCGTGGGAATGGGATGCCATTCAGGCAGAGGAGTCAGAATGGACACACATCACTGAAATGGGCGGCCGGGAGACACTGTGGCTTTGTGACTGAAGACAATTTATGCGTTCGCCCTGGGAGAGAAGCTTTGTCTGCGCTCTGGGGCTAATGGCTTAACTTATTCCACACAAATGGGCTGTCCAAGGTTTCAGGTGATTAGGGAAAAGCAGCCATTGCTATGGAAACAGTGCACCTATCTCTAAGTGTCTGAAAATGCCACCTGCTTGTGTGCGTGTTCGTGTGTGTGTGCGCTCACCATGATGGCCAGTAGAATATTCTGGAAGTCGTTTCTGAAGCCCAGCGTGGAGCTGCAGAACAGAGCGAAGTTTCCCTCCAGGAGCTGTGGAACGAAGCACACAGACGCACTTCAGTCAAGTTTTACTGCCTAAACACAAATAAATAAATACACACACACACACACACACACACACACCGCGGGCCAACCTTGCGGGCGCTAAGTAAACTCTGGCTGGTAGCACCACCTAGAGACTACCAACATCAGAAGAACTGGCTCAACTCAGTAACCAAAAAACAAACTGAACATTGGGCAGAAACAGACAGTCGGATGAGACTAAAGACCGTGATTGACATCCTGAACATGGATTAAATCCACAGGAAAACTGTGTGTGTGTGTGTGTGTGTGTGTGTGTGTGTGTGTGTGTGTGTGTGTGTGTGCGTGCATGTATGTGTCTATACGCACCATGAAAGCCAGTGAGGTAAAAAGGAAGACCATGACCAGTTTGGCGTAAGGTCCGTGCCCCATCACCAGCTTAATCCCCTGGAAGAAAGACATGGGCTCCGACCTGGGACGACAAGACTCTGAAAGGAGAGCAAATGGGAAAAAATTAACAAAGACGTAAAATGACTTTCACCTAAATTTATATTTCCCTCCTTCATGCCTACAGTGATGAGGCAGCTGCCTCTCAGGCTCATCTTTTACTGTCGCAAGACAATTGTGTCTTATTAGTCCCCATCGCTGGCCTCTAATTTAACCAAAGCCTTAGTGTTCTCACTCAGCCTGTCAGCACACAGTCACACCATAATATACAGCCATAACTGTGCATCCCCATTGGACCACAACACACAACGTCAGTAACGGCTCTGTCACATGAAAGACGTGTGTTTATCTGCATCCAATCAACTTCAGTGACTTTTATGTGTGAAAAGCCATGGAAGACTCTCAGGCTTACAGCTGAATATATTTGCCTTTTGCAATATGCACTTAAAAAGGCAAAGATCAACATCTGAAAAACAAAAAGATATCTCTGATTTTCAACTTATTTTTGAAGGATTTCTTTGGATTTGATTTGAAGCTTAAATTAAAAGGAGTGGTCATAGGCATCTAAATTGAAAGATGGAGCCGGTTTGATTGAGGGAGAGATGCTTTTACCTTTTTGCTCTCTCACACCGAAGAAAAGAACAAAAGCACAGAGGATGTAGATCAAGCAGATGACACCAGAGGCAATCATGTAGGCCGCTTTCTGCAGAGGAAGAATGAGAACAGAGAAGGACGATGTTTAGGAAAACAGAATCTGTATCCCAAATTTTCTCATCGGTTCACATTTGAACAGTTACGTTGTTATTAATCTTTATTGTCAAACAACAGATAAACAGATTTGTTTACCGTGTGATCCAGGGAAATGACAGGCTCTGACTCATTGAGTCCAACAGAATTGACCGAGTTGTTCAGGTTTGCAATGATGTCACCGGGACCTGGGAGGCAGGGCGCGTTGGCCATGCCCACTATCTGTCCTTGGATGGCTGTGCCGAGCACGGTGCCCAGAACTTCAACCGTCATCCCTGGAAGAATCACGGGGAAACGTTCAGTCACTGACGAGGTGATGCACCTAATGTCTTTTCGGTGAATGGGCTCGTTTACACAATAACAACTTTACATTTTACCGACTGTGATACTCACTGTATGCAGTGGCTGAGTCTCTCTCTTTCTGCTCTGAGCTGATGAACATGGTGAGGGCAGAGTAAGGCACATGGAAGCACTGATGGCAAAGAAAAGCAAAGAGAGAGAGAAATGAATGCATGTTGGTGGTTCACTTTCTGTTTATTTGTATTCTAGCAGAGAGATAAATGAGTAGATCGATACTGCTCTCATGTCTGGCATGTCTCTGTATGGTAAATATTAAGAGGCCATCAGTTACCTTAGTTTAGCACAGAGACTGGAGGCAGGGGGAAAATGCTAGCCTGGTTCTGTCCAGTTACGAAGTCCACTTACCAGCACCAATAAAACTCACTAATTAACACGTTGTATCTCCTTGGTTTAATCTGTACACAAAGCCATAGCCAACAAAAATGTCCAGCACATAACTCTTCATAAAAGGACAAATTGTTGTTTTTACACTTCAGTTTTGGTACAGATTACATAAACACGATATAACACGTTAATAGGTGAAATATAAAGGTGCTGGCGCATGATGCAGGTGAGCCATTTCCCTCTGTTTTCTGTCTTTATGCTAAGCTAAACTAACCTTCTCCTGGCTGCAAGTTAATGCTTATTTTAGATTATTGTACAATTTAAGGATTTCCTGACAAATTGTTGTGTGTGTGTAGGAAAGATTGCTTCATACTGTCATGATTGAATCAGTTAAAAAAATAATATTTAAAATTAAGGTCACTCAAGCTTATAGACCCTGTGATTACCTTTAATTTTCACTGAGGATGTGAAAGTGTGATGGGTGTACATGGTAAAAATCTTATTGGGAAATCAAACACTTCCATGACCTTTTATTGCAAGTAAGTGTTCACAAGGAGCGTCTGTGTCTGCGCCAGTGAGGTACTCACAGTTTGAAGGGTCTGGAAGACGCAGTAGAAGAAAAGGTACCAGATGACTTTGCTGTCCTCAAAGGGAGGAACATACCATATGAGGAAATAGGAAAGCACAGCCAGAGGGGTCGAGAACAGGATCCTACACAGGGAAGGGGGCAGAGGAGACAACAACAACAACAACATGATGAGTGGATGAAAACGTGATCCTACTCGAGCGTGAAACACTCTCGCTCTGTAAACAATCATGAAAAGAGGGGGCCACTCATTACATAACAAATCGTGGCCACTGATGTGAAGTGTCTTTCATTCAGCGAGTGCCAATTTTTCCTCATCAGGGTTTGCTTTTCCCTCGCTGTTTGTCGTTAATAGGGACATAATGTTCCTGGTGCATGGAACAGGTTGGGCTTGATGTTTGGCAGGCTCTGAGGGTTATGAGAGGATATGACATTTGGGAATGCTGGTAAACAAAACCAAACCTGGCTAGCGTTATCTCACAGACGACTGCTGACACAGCCTCTGTTACAAACAGAGAGAAGGGTTTCAAATGCTCATATATGAGTAAGAATCTGTTTTACTTCTCTAAACGCATCCGTGCCACCCTGTACTCCGCCTCCCTTCTTTTCTTACACATCTCACATCCCGTAAATTCACACCATGAGGTCATTTTAACTGGAAAAAAAATTTTTTTCAAATTACTGTGGGAGAGGAATTCCTTCAGTCACTTCCTTCCCTCTGTTCGGCTTCCTCCTATGGTCATATCAACGCTGACCAATCACATATGAGATTCTGAGTGCAACCACACCTCTGATGTGCAGGGAAAGAGTGAAAAAGAGGAAAAGAACAGGAAGTAGCTCAGGGCTTCCGGCTTGATCCTCTATTGTTAATAAGGTTACTCACCCTCACCAGACAGGACATGAAATCATGCATCATGTTTGTATCACATCGGACCATAAGCAACAGAATGTAACTGCCCTATATAAATACAGTGACGCAAATTCTCGCCAAAAGCACCAGCTGCTATCCAGCCACAGAAACAGACCAGCTTCACTGCAAACCCGCTGCTAATCAACTTAATCCCACTTAATGGCTGAACTCTGATTATCTATATCTCTTTAAAAGAGAGAAATGTCAGGAGGAGCGGCATTCAATAAGCTCTCTCGTGCATGTGATGCGATTAACTGTACACTTGAGGAAAGTTACTCTGGGAGTGTGCGAGGAGTGGTGAGCAGGTCAAAGCAGATGTTTTATCTAGGGATGACAGCACATGTAGGACTGCATTTCAATGTTCATTTCCTCTGTGCCGCTTGAGATGAACATCTACCAAATTAGGCACGCCACATCCTTTGGCTTTAGCTCGGTCTATCATTGACATTGCCTTCACTTGCAGCTTTTGAGCATGCAAACTTATGGTTGAATCTTTTAAAATGAACTTTCAAGTCCCGTCTTTGTCAGTGCATTATGTTCTTCAACAGTTTGCACGGCTAAGCTAAGACTTGCACTTTGCCTGCAGGACAGCAGTGACATATAAGCACTGTCCAGATCCCCCTTCCTGGAGTCATATTTAAATGTCCTCTGAAATAGCCATGCTGACTTGGGAGGGGCGACTTTATCTCAGCAAGTCTGGTGGCTATTAACTGTTGTCTTATAAGCTGATATGTGAACTCATTCTTCTGGCAGCCACCATTAAGCTGGGTGGGTGAACAGCTTGTAACAATTAAAGAAATCTGCAAAACATTCTGGTTGTGAAATCAAGAGAATTTAAAAAGAACTCCTGCTTCATGTGAAAAGTATGAGAAAAAAAACATGAAATTAATGTGAAAACACTCAAATTCTAACTCAATTTTAAGTTTATATTGGACAAAGAAAGACGTCCAGTATTTGTTGAAGTTGTGATACAAGCCCTTCACAGTCAGTGTCTAAAGAAATGACTTGTGTTGAGGGAGTGGCAGAAAGTTGCAGTCTGTCACTGGTGACGGACCGGCAGTTGCTGTGAAGCAACAGTGAAAATCATTCTGTTCCTTTCTGCACCTCGAACTGCAGTAACCTCCTGAATTCCTCAGCCGCTCTTTAAAAAATCCTAACCGGGCCTTTCAGCCGACGCTATTGGCTGAGGAAGGTGGTGTGTTGTGGGAGCGACCAATGACAAGGAAGCCCGACTATTCTCCCCTCCCCCACTTCCTACACACAGAGATTTTAAGATGGAGCAGCTCCAGTGGTCTTCCTCCGGCTCCGTCCTCATCTCCTCATCTCCTCACATCCTCACACATCTAAACAGCTGTAATGAGCGTTGTGTGACCTAACATGCCGGTCATTCCTCCATCCTTTTCCTCTTCCAACAACCCCCCCACCTACATCCATCTCTCTGACAGCAAATGGGCAATATGTATCTGTGGCTTACCACAAGCAACATGAAGAATGACCCACTTTTGAGAGACTTCGAGTCACATGTCAGCATCTCCACGCTGGAGGAAAATTACAGTAATGATATACCTCCGCCATGACATCATAATCCTCCATGACACCAAGTTGATTAAGTTGAATTTTCTGCATAAACAGAAAGTCTATCAAAAGAACAGCTGTGTATAAAGTAGTGTGCCAAATATATAATTTCAAAAATATCCAATTAGATTATGCATTCAGAAAAGACGATACATTTATACATACAAGAGATGATTTAAAATGTGATTAAAACTGATTAAAAATGTAATTAAAAACACAACAGTATGAGGCAAATAGTCGCCTTTAATAGGAATAATCACGAAACCAAGGTTGCTCATGTGTTATAAAAGCTAGTCTTCAATTATTTTAGTAAATTCATGTTGGTCCAGAACAAGAGGCCATTTGAATATATTTTGTACATCTGTAACTCATGTAGCTTTTATTTCATTACCAAAAAAGAACATATCCTGGCTCTTCACACGAGCTGCTAATTAGCTGCACAGGATGATAATTCCTTTGTATTCTTTGTAAATTAATTATGCGGGTGTTTCCTCTATAGGCGCACCCAAGGGAACAGGAAGCTGAGGTGGAAACCAACAGGAATGTTTGTGGCTGCGTTCACCTGCCAACTGCGCTCCTTCTCACACACGTTTCATACGCAGCTAGGGAGATGCTGCCTTGGCCCCTCTGAGACATTTACCTAGGCTTGTCAAAGTGTCCTCATCTCCCTTTTCCTCCACTGCCCCGATCACCCTGCGGAGGTATCGCATGCTCCCAGCTACTACTGAAGGGACAGTAGCTCTGAAACATCCAACACAGTGCTGACAGGAGGCTGGCGGCCATTTCTATAACCAGCAACTGACACCCTACACCGCACTTATCTAACATAACCGTTTGAATTATACCCCTCGGACACGGACCAAGAGTTTTACGAGGGTCTGCGATTTTTGGCGATGAAGGGAACTGTGGACAAAAGTCACAATCCAATATTCATGTGTAGACGTATAATGATTCAGATAAGCCCCTGTAGGTTGCTTAGAGATTCAGAGGCAGAGATGTGGGGGAGGGGATATAGCGGCAAAAAAAAAAAAAAGGGTCAGTAACCTTTCCGTGTAAAAAGCCTGAAGTGTCACAGGCCTCCCACTCCCTCAGGCTGGCTGCCACACACAGACGCACACTACGTTTTAACATTCATTCATGAGGGGAATTCACGGTCTGAATTGAAAAATATCAAAAATATTAAATATCGAAATGTCAAACAGCTGAAAATGAGCTTCACACGCACACGCACACGCACACGCACACGCACACGCACACGCACACACAGATTCCAGTGTCTGAGTCCTCTGGAGAAATTCCTTCTGAAAAATGATTTGTGTGCCTCCAGTGAGGTGCAGCCTCGGTAGCAAGCAGGAGTTATATTTGTCAAAGCCATGCCAAAGGCCGTGCTGTGGGAAACCAGCGGCTGCATGAACTCCTCATATTTGTTTAGTTAAAAAACAAAAAAGGCTTAGTACCTTTGCATTTCGGCTTCAGCGGTCAAGCCTGGACCAGTTCAACTAGAGGCAATTTTCAGTGGGTTATTTTATTGCCAGTATGCATAGCAGCAGTTGTGTGTGTCTGTCTGTGTCTGTGTGAGTGTGGAAGGGAGGAGAGGGGGGGGGGGGGGGGGAATGAACATATACGCATGTGTGGGCTATGCGGAAGCTGTACAGGAGTATCAGCATGACCCATAGTAACCCCTCTTGGGAGATGACGCTGGTGATTTCAACAGAGACACAGCACAAAGCCTCGCCCCCAAACACTGACACATGTAGAGGGAAAAGCTGGAAACCCCCCCCCCCACCCCTTATCAACAAGGTAATGGAAAAGGATTGGCAGAGACCCAAAGAGGATGCGGGAGCTCCAGAGAAAATTACCCAGATTTAAAAAAGAAATTGCTCTAAAATCCAGATCTAGTTGTCATGTGTATCAGTGCATCAAACAGTGTCAGGCTGCTGGGTAAACCTACCAGGGCAGCATGCGTCCGAAACGTGTCCACGGGCTTCGGGAGACCAGGAATCCCACTGTGGGGTCCGTTACTGCGTCCCATGCTCGGCCCACAAACAAGATGATGGAGGCATAGAAGGGGTCCAGCTGTGAAAGCAGAAGACGCAGAGATTAGTGCAACTGTGACAGTGACAAAAAAAAAAAAAACGAATGTCATGAGCAAGCTGACAAACTATCGAAAGGTGCCACTTGGCGGCTCGGCCCGTCTGCAGTTCACCCAGCTTTGTCCAGAGGAGACGAGTCTGAGTGGAGGCCAAGGCAGCATGAATGCTCCACTCCTGACTGTACAATCTGCACCACGCTGTGTCGCCCAATAGACTCTTAATCAACAGTCTCAGTAGCTGGACAAAGCTAAACCCTGGGAAGCTCTTGACTTACACGTTATTTTGGCCTTCACCATCAGATTAGTGTCAGAGCCCATTAAAGTGAGCCCCTCCTCATCGTGCTACCAACACCCCACCTCACCCCCCCTACATTTTTCAGAATAAGCCCCTGTAAGCCTTTTTATACAGTGGAGCCCCATCATGGAGCCAATAATGGAAAGAAGAGAGCAGCCTTTTCCACCTCTTCATTTTTCCTGGACAATCAGATGATTTGTTGGTGAGCCTTGGCGGTCACAATGTCTTGTATGTGGCCTTATGAAAGAGGTGCTTTGAGGGCGCAGGAAGGACCGTGTACAGCTCCGAGCCTGTAAATGCCACCTCACATACTGTGGCAGGGCAGCACAGAGAGTAGGAAGGTCGGTAGTGGAGGTACACTATGTTCCCATCCCCACTAAGGTGGCTATATTTAGGACCATGTTATAAAAGTGACACTAAATACGTGAACAGGTGCGATCATGGAGTTTTCAAATAATCTTGACCAACTCACCTGAGCTACATCCAGAAGGTAAATCTGCAGGAAAAAGCCCAGGGCACATCCTGTGATCTGGTAGGGCGCTCCGCCAATGGCATAGCATAACTTGTTGCAGACTGACAACCTGTTCCTGTGCTCGTGCTGGAGAAAAGAAATAAAAAAGGAAAAAAAGAACAGAAAAACATTAAGAAAAATTATCAAGTACATTAACCCCAATAGTGGAAAAAGGATAAGGAAATTTCACAGAGTGTAGACACAGTAGCAGACATGAGATCTGTCAAACTACTTAACAAAAGGCATATTACGCATTAACCTACTTTTAGAGAAAGTGTCCTTAAGTATTTGCAGCTGCCCACAAACCTTTTCTCAGGCTTTGGCAGGACCTAACCCACGTAATTATAGGAGAGTTAAATTCAGCAAAATCAACGACAGCAGTTCAACCTTAACAGGGTGCCTGCAATAACGCAGCACACAGCTATACTCCCCTGGCTTATAAATAGCCAACTTTCTCAATTTCTGTCTCAACAATTTAATCCTCCCCCTGTAGTTCCTTCAATCTTTAGTCTCACGTTTTTCTCACTGGTTAGATTAAGACTACTGCCTCACAAGGAATGTGGCCTAAATTCTTAAATCGCCAGAGTCTTAAAAGTGCAGCTGGCAGACAGCTAACTATCACGTAGCATATTTGGCAGAAGTCAGGGACAGCCACTGGGAAACAAGAAACCCTTGGTGTCCTAACAAGGGCTCATTCTTCTTTATCTTCCTCACTGTAGATGTAATAATTTCCTCAACAGACCGACTCTAAACATCTCCTTTAATAGTAACACAAATCACTGCCGGTAAGTGCCAGGGCATGACTACACCATGGTGTCACACACACACACACCAAAAGCCAGGGGGACAGCACCTCGGCAGCAGCCTGTGCTGAGTTAACACCCAGATGGATGGCTGCCAGTTCGACCAGTGCTCTGACCAGTGTTGCCCACAGAGGAGTGAAAACACACCCTCCTCCATGTCCAATCAAAAGGTTGTGTTTGGTGCTGCCTAATCTGTCCCCTTTTCAGCTGGTCAAAGGAGTTTTCTTCACAGCTGCTGTTAACAGCCTCAGACAAAACGTAAACCTGTAAGATAGCATCGGTTTATGAAAATGACCCCGATCTGCAGGCACATTTCAGGATTTGTCTTGTCATGGCAAGAAAATGGACACTGCCTCATCTCATCACCACAACACAAAACAGCACTGTGACTGTGACTGAATAAAACCAGCCCCTGTCTTGTTGATACACCCAGCCAAGCCTTTGTTTAGTTGACAAAACGCTCAGTGGCTGAAATGAGAAACCACCACCTTCAAAACATAGAAGCAATTATTCAAACTGCACTGACTGAACACAATGGTTGGCCTTGCAACAGTTGGACGATCTGGTGATCCAGGTCATGTCTCCAAGGTATTGAACGCAGGATCTCGTGGGCCGAACTTGGCCGTGTGATCTTCCCACATTCCCCCCTCAAACTAAGCAATACAGCTGTAAACTGGACAAGGGGCGGTCAGTCTATGTCAGACGGAGGGCTAGAACATTTTTATCTGACAGTGTGCAGCAGACCAACCTTTCATCACTACATATAACTCTCCTACACTTGCTCTACTTGTATGCATACATATTTTTGCCACTCCTAGTTTTAAAGAAGTTCACTGCAGTGACTGTACCTACTTTGTCATGCAACACTCATAGGATAGTATCATTGCGACAGTGCATCAATGTCACTCGGCTTTAAAACAATACTCCTCTGTGCACCCTAAATAGATCAGTTACATTAGAGGAGTTAAGTGTATGTTGATGTCTTCTGCAAAAAAAAAGATGCAGTGTTTCTCATTCCTTACATTCAACACAGAGGTTCAACAGTGTTTTGTAAAAGTGACATTAAAACCATTAAACACAGCCTCTCATTTCTACCCCAAAGGCTACTGCTTCTGGCAGCAGTAATAATATGTTATCACTGTAAACAGCTTTGGTCCTGCACTGGGTGGATTTTTTAAATACTCAAAAGGTTATAAATGCATTTTGGATTTCAGTTACAATTAGAAATATTAAACACTTTAAATAATCTATACACTGGCAAAGACAGAAATGGTCTGGTTTTGGATGGGGTTTTAGGACATCGTCCTCAGCCTGCCCCCTCTGTGTCTGACACGTCGCCTTGATGAGTTGTACTTCCTGCTGCATTCACAGCTATGGGAAAAAACCTGAATTACTCTCAAACACATCTTCAAAAAAAAAAAAAAACAAATTAGGAGGGGTTTTTCTTTTGACGAGTGATTCTTGAGAAATAAGATCGCGTCAAAAACAAAACATTGAAAAGTGAAAGCCTATATGCGATCCCATAATAACTCACTACTGTGTCAATGATTTGTCTTCCTCATTTTGTTGATACAGTGCAAAGCATGTCGTCACTTTTTTTTAATCTAAAACAGAAAGACACGTACCAATACATTTGGTTTTCTTAAATATTTTTGTTGTAGTTTATATATGCCAACTGGTCCTTTCTCTCTTGAGGTGAGGCGTATACACAGGAGCCCGTGAAGGCAGCACTAAACACACCTTTATTGCGAATGCATCCCGATAAAGTGACATGGAGGATGCAGCCCACACACCTCTTATTATTTACACCCAGCGTTTTTTATTCACATGTTGACTTCAAACTTTCACTTATTTATTTCATCATTAGTATAGCCAGATATGTCTATATATGTGTAATTAATTTGGCGAGCTATGCTAATATAAGACGACCATGACCATATTTAAAAGGGTGCAGCCTTCAAGTGAGAAGATTGGCATTTTCAGCATTTAAAATTAGCTGTGTGGCTGGGGTAATGAGTGCATCGAAAACCTCTATGATTAGAGAGTCCACCCAGAAATTATGACTGAAAGTTACTATATTTAACCGTGTCAAACACCGTAGAAAGCCTCGGTTTATATGATTTTTAACGATTTTGCATTTCTCGTGATATGAATAAGACCAGAGGAGGGTGGTTTGTTGACTGGAATTCGTTGAATTTTCTTTAAGTCTATCATTTTTAAATAATATTTCGTTCATTTTATAATTTGTTAAGTCTGTATTGTGACACTATGTTGGTTAACTCCGTGTTGAAATATCACAATTAGCAACGCGCGCCTAGCAAAACGTAACATGACTCACTCCTTTAAAATGTCAATTTACCGGTGTGATCCATTCATTCATGTTGAGACAAGCTCCGTCCTCGTCTTGGTTTATCTGGTGACTTAAACAAACAAATACTAAACTGCCGACGAACCTGAAATTTGAATAAACGTAATGAATGAACCCACCTTCTTGGCTAGCTTGATGCCATCTGAGCCCACCGGTTTATTCAATAAACTGGCGCTGGAGTATTGTTCACCTCCTTCTCCTTTTGCCATAGCAGAGCAGCTGCTTTTCTTGGGTTTAAACTTGACACACACACACAAAAAAAACCGTAGAAAAACTTCCCAAAAAAACAGTCTTCGGTAAGGTTTGAAGAGTCACGTCCTGTGGTATCGTCGTAGACTACAATCTGTTTGAAAACTGAGAGGAGGCGATGGCAGAGGGTGGATGTAGTAATTTTTAGAGATCCCCGCCCCTGCCATTCACGCCATATTTGACCCCGCCCTCTAAAGGCGGGTCACAGAAAGGCATATCCAGAGTCACACAGGTCCTGAAGTATGACACCCCCCTCCCACTGAAGACATTTCCCCCCTGACTCTGTGGTTATACCGCTTTATCTGTCACATGTTGCATATCTATACAAACAATATACCAACCTATTGTTTCATCCCTATAATGTCAGGGACCGTAGTGCACGTAATGTTAATATATTTAGGTTATATATATTGAATTTCCATATATGAAATACCTATATGTAATAAAAACGTGTATGTAAAATACACCTAGAAATTGGAACAATTTCAAATATTGACATAAATGTCTAACCCATACAAATAACACATACAAGTATGTTTGTATTTGCATGTTTACATATGTGTTACGTAAATACCTTTTTATATACAGTCTATGGTAAATACATATCCATCCCAAAGCCTGTCAATATACATTAATAATTATATAGGCTACAGTAGGGTCCAAAAGTCTGAGACCACTTTCACAGAATGGAAAGATAGACATAAAATTAGTAATAAAAACATACAAAAATAAATATCATTTTAATATGTATGTTGTTTTAATAAAGTTGCATACATAAATCATTAAAAAAATCATCATTTTTATATTTTTTATATATGTATATATACATATATATATACACATTTTTACTATGGGTATCACATAGGATAGAGGATGTATATATGTGATAATAATATAATGTCATGGCTGTAGCTACCATTGAAGGAGAAGTTAAATATGTCAGTATGTTATAGACAGATTCCACCTATTCAATACTCTGTATTGATCTTTCTGATCACAAAAAAAGGATAAAATAATGGATTTAGTATCCAGAAAAAAATACAGATATTATAGCTAACTGAACAATTTGTCTGTTTGCTTTTTGTGGGTCTTGAATTTGTTTTCAGCAAATATCTTAAATAAATATTCATGCCTGAATGGCTTCACTAGGAATACAAATTTTGTGATTGATAAAGGAGAATTTTGTATGTTCAGTCAATGACCTGTACTTCCCCGGTCACTGATTGAGTGAGAAGTATTCACCAAAATCAGACATTTCAGATACGGAAACAGAAAATATCAAGCAGTTCTGAAATAGATTTTGGGAGGACAGAAATAAAACTTCAATAAAATATTGTCACCTAATATTGTAAAGTACAGTAATATCATTGCACAATATTGTCCACAGCTGAACTAAATTCCTCAATAGGAAGATAAAATATGCCAAAAAAAAATGTCCCAAATATATTTTTTTATGAGTTGGTGACTTCCTGTACAGTGATAAAATTCTGGCAAAATCTCATCTACATACATGAACAATTGCATATTTGGGGAAATAAGTGGCTCCACAGTGTGTATGCTCACATGTGTGTGTGTTTATGTGTGTGTGTCCGTCAGTCTTGCTGTGGGCCTACTTCAACCTTCACATGTCCTACATATAACTCAAAGTGACCACCTTCCTCTGTACTGACCATCAGTGAAGACGGTTCAAAGCGACGGTTTTAACTTCTTTTAATATGTGCACACATATAGCCTGACTGCTAAATGGAGGCATACACAAAATTCCTCATGTGTGGTAGAACAAATAGCTTTTCTCCTGCGGCTAGCCAGAGGTTGCTTGCTGCCTGACGGTTTCTCAAATCCTCTGACTCAGGTCTCTATTTGCAAAGCGTCTTCTGCTCTGGCTGCGAGAGGCTGTGCAGCCTATGTATGTATACAGTATGTCCCTATTTTAGCTGAGCACACATACCATGAAGCCTCCAGTATAGGTATGCAATATACACACACCACCACTAGTCTGAATACTCATTTGTGTGTCTGGTAGGAGCCTCTGGGTGGCAGGAGACGTATAGATATTTGCAATGTTTACTTATAATCACATAGACTTTTCACGCTCACACACACACAACTTGCAGAGATATGAGCGCACACACATGCCGCCTCCATAGATCAAACATTGACTCACAATGCAGTGTTATCTATGAACCATTCACCTATTTATTTACGCACACCCAATACACACACACACACACACACACACACACACACACACACACACACACACACACACACACACCTCTAAGCAGGAATCTCCCCACAGCATTATTAAACTTGTGGCAGTTAAACCCTGACCTCTCCAACTTTAAAGTCAAGTTCATACCGTATGCAGACGTGTAAAGTGAATCTGCAATAAAGATAAATCAATGTGTGTCAACATACTGTAGATTAGATTATATGTTGTGGCCTGGTCTAAATTGTGTATTCAGGTGACAGTGGACTCAACTTATCTCACCTTTGACATCATTTCAATATAAGAAAAGGATTTGTTGTAATACCTCTGGGGCAAAGAGCCACTGGTCTGTTGGAAGGTGTTGAAATCTTACAATTTGCCAATAAAAAAATATTGTCTGCCTGTAAAGCTAATTTCACATAGGAGGAAGGAAGCTTTGAGAGATGTTGTAATATTAAAAGACTGAAGAACAGAGGTTGATGTCAGTCCCCGTGAGGAAAATAGAAACAACGTGAAATAAAGACAGAGGAGAGAAGCACTGCTGAGTTTTTTCATAAATCAGTCACACAACATAATTTGTATGACTTGCTAATATTAGCGAAGGTCACTCCATTTTCACCTTCACACAGTTTACAAATGAAAAGTTGAATTCATTAGCAATAAAACATTGCCCATCGTTCAATTCAGGCATTTAACTTCTACAGCCTTACTGGGTCTCTTCTTGTAGCGCCAGTCGCTTATGGTGGCCAAGGTTAGCTAATGTTAGCTAACTTTACACAAATGTTTCATAAATGTTCTGCGCACCGTTTGCATTGTGCCCTCGGAGAACGCTGTTGATGAAGCAAATGAGAGGAGGAGGCTGTTGTATGCTGAGGCTGGAGAGTAATAGTCTCCAGACATCTGCCCGTGGTTGACAAACATCAATCTAGTGCGGAGGGTCTTCAATAAAAATACCTCGCATGAATTAAAGAATGAATTAATGAATTAATGAATGCATTTGCAATAAAACAGAACTGCGGTACATAAGACACGGACATTTAGCAGCTAAAACCTCAATTCATCTAATATGACTAGTAGCTTATAGCTAATGTTAGCTCTTATGGTAGCATTTACACTTATCCTGAATCAGGCAACCATTTTCACACAGTTTCTATATAAAGTAATTTACAATTAATTAACTGCTACACCATATGTATGACCACTGTGGCTAGCTCTTCACAACTTTAGAGAACAACCCTACTGGGTTAGTTTGCCGACTTTTTGACTCTTACTTAGTGTGTGAACTACTATATTGACCCTTTGTTGTCAGCCCATTTTCACACAGTTCTACTGTTTAAGCACCTGCATCACGGTGCGAAAATGTTTCTGTCATCTTAGCCAGGGAAAAACACACATTGTAGGTAATGACTAATGAATGCACTGTTCTTCCCAAAGTCGACCTAAACCAAGAGGGATTTGGGCTAACTGATTGGTAAACAAACTCCCTTGCATTTTATTGCAACAAGACCAAGCTTTACACTGCATCCTAAGGGACCTAACCCTAAACCAACAAGATACTTTCCCAGGGATCACCTTACCTGTCCCATTTGTTGTAGCTTGGCTACCAAAAAAAATTAACCCAAAGAGATTAGATATGTATCCTCAAAGGAGCTGCTGTGACCCTGTGCTTAACTTAGAAGAGATGTTTACAATTTAGAAATAATGCCCTTCCCTGTGTCTGTGGTGCTTTGTCGTTAAAATTAGTGCAAGTAGGGATGCATTTGTCACACTGGTTGATCCAGACGCGGTCATGACAAAGACAGGGCGAAGTCTTTTGGCATGAGTTTGTGTATGCATGTATGTGTGTGTTTGTGTGTGTGTTTGAGTGTGAGTGCACTATTAGTTTTCACTGCCACCGGTGCTGTTAAAGTCACACTTGTTGATGGACATCACACTTGTGATGAAGTTACTGTGTACAAGTGGATTTATTGCCTGTGTGTGTGTGTGTGTGTGTGTGTGTGTGTAGATATACAGTATGTGCGAGTGTGATGTGAGTGTGAGTAAAGGCTCATGACTGTGTATTTGTCGCCAAACACAGTGTGTGAAAGTCTGAGAGAGCAATGCCATGCGATGAATGCAGAAGCTGTCCAATAGGTTGAGCTTGCGTGCGTCAACCGAGGTTAAACATAGCTACAGGTAGGATGGAAACTCAGGACGGAGGGGGGAATGCGCACACATACACATAAAATAGGGGGGGGGGTTGAGTTTGCATGTCCTCTTTGTGCCTGCACTTCCTCCAGGTACTCCGGCTTCCTCCCACAGTCCAAAGACAGGCAGGTTAGGTTAATTGGCAACTCTAAATTGCCTGTTGGTGTGAATGGTTGTTTGTGTCTATATGCCAGCCCTGTGATAGACTGGTGACCTGTCCCGTCCAGGGTGTACCCTTCCTCTCACCCAATGTCAGCTGGGATCGGCTCAGCTGGGACAGCTAATGGATAGATGGATGGGAGGAGTTGTCATGTGCTTTGTGGTTAGTGGTTCAAGTTTTCACAGGAAGCGGGTTTCAGAGAAGGTGGATTTACTGGGAAGCAGTTGATACTCTTCTGGGTCACGTTGTGTCGAATCAGTTTAGATCAGTTGTCAGTATTTGTGATCTCTGTGAGACACAGTTGCTTAATTTAAAAATTAAAAAAAAAAAAAGTTACACAAAAAGGTGCATTCAAACACCCAGTGTGTTAGATTGCAATTTCCATTAAGTATTGAAAAAAGGGGCCACATAGGCAGTAATTTAACTGCAAGCTATAAAATGTGACCCAGATGACTTGACTTTGCTGTTCTGGATTAACAACTCTTTGTGGCTGTGATCACAGTTAATCTCCAGGGCATAAAGGAGACACTTT